ATTCACACGACTAACATTAACGTTTTCACATCAAACAAGCTGGAAGAGAGGAACTTTACTATTCACATTACGACCGCATGGTTGTCGGGGGGCAGACTGTTAACTACCAATTGATCACTTTGAACTACTTCGGTGGAAATCTGAGCACAGCTACTGGTCTCTCGTCCAGGGAGGGGAGGTACTTCTCGACGTATGACGATGACAACGATCCAGACTCCAATGTTAACTGTGCTCTCGCCTACGCAGCAGGTCTAATTTGAATAATAATAATTTGCTCAGTTTATGTATTGTACTTGTGAGATGATAAGCAAATGAAAAAAGTTTATTTAAATTACTATTTTTTCTTTTCCCCTTGCAAACAGGATGGTGGTATCACCCATCAGTTACAATTTACGGATCGTGCGGTTTTACAAATTTTAACACCCAGTACCCAAACTTTCTGACGTACTTAAATGGCGAATCCTTTCAGCTGTTCAGCTCGCAAATGTGGATACAATGCATTTAAATGTCTACAATACTTTTTCCACATTTCCACGTGTTGAAAATTCGCATTTTGCTTTTTTTGAAATGAATAACAACATTGATTTATTCTAGATTTAAATATAAAATAACATTAACAAAGTTTATTTATCTTAGATTTAGATGATGTGATGTGGATGATGACCGTGATATCGGTTTGGTTATAGTGGAAATGCGATGAATTTTATAATGATAATTTATCAATTTGAACCACAATCAACAATAACAAACTAACTGTTTGCTAAGCGCTTTGCCTTTTTATAATGGCTACAACATTTTACGAAAGTCCCATAACGCCACAAAGATATGGTGGCCCACAAAGATATGGTGGCCCATTATTATTTTAATTATTTTTACTCTCCCGATTATATGTGTGTATAATAGATATTTTTATATTTGCGACCTATTTTTGCTTATTAAAAATTTTTTGTAATGAAAAAACTTAATTTGTAGCATAAATTTTTTGTGCTAAATCTATCATTTGGTGATAATTATAATTTTTCATAAGGATGCCAAGTCATCTTTATGTTCCAACCATAATACAAGGTTTAATGTTACGAGCAGCGTGCTTGAATTTACTTTAAATTCACCACTTTTTTTAATTTTTATAAATTATTTAATTAATTATTTTTCCAAAATTATATTATTTAAAAAATTAAAAAAAAGTTGTTAAAAATATTTAAACATTTAATCTTTTGAAAATTTTTCTTTGATCAAGGCGACAGCTCTTGAATTCAATTTAACGATAACTCAATTTTAAATCTGATTATAACGGAACGACCAGAACACGATGTTCAGAGGTCAAACCATCTGATCACAAGTGCAATCTACCAAATTTCACAATACCAAGTGCCAAAAAACAAGAGCGTTCAAAGTTAAGGCGTATATTTACAACACAAAAATATCGATTAGTATATACAATTTCAAAAATCAGATTATGTGCAATTTTAAAAATTGGAAATAAATTAAACTAATTTTTCAAATTAAAGAAGTAATTAAAAACTATCAACATTCATTCAACAATTTAAGAACATCTGCATCAAATTATTTACAAATGCGCTTCAACAAATTTTGCATTTTCTTCCTCAAAAAATTTCTGATTTTTGAGGCACCAGATGATTTTTTGATTTTTCCCGGTGCTTGAGTTATGTGATTGTGAGCTAATTGAGACATATACAACTGCATGTTCCTCTGACCTTCCATCATATCATTAACATTAATCTTCGTTTGTTGTCCATTTTTGTGCTGAAGCATATACTTGCTGTAATTTGCTGGACGGTCGAGATATGTTTGGCATTCTTGGACATAGTAGAGCTTATTTGGTAAGGTTATTTCGACGTGTCCCAATTCTTCATCTGAAATGATTGGGTTCTCGTTGTAAATCGTTGTGTGAATCATCATTTTGTAGTCATTCAATTGTTCAGGGAGATGGAATGAAATGCTTTCGTTGAAGTGAGGATCAAATGTGTTGAATATTGTTTTTGTTCTGCACTTCTCAAGGACATGACCTTGCGTGTTTGTGAGGCGGACATGCACATAACTGTTGCATGAGTCAGTTGTCAGAGGGTTCAAATTCTGAGCACTGTTCACTTGTACAACAATCTTTTGACGACTCCTTTCAACTTTCAATTCAATCGATCCATAGCGTCGATCTTTGTCGTTAAGATTATTTCTTCTGTTGTGGGATGTTCTCACATGTCTGCAGGTTGGCGAGAAGAGGATGGTATGTATTACATCATCATCTCCATCATCTTCTTCCGCGTCATCCTCATCTTCCACGCCATCTTCTTCCTCTTCTCCTCCATCTTCCTCATCGTCATGAGAACTTCTGAGATGAAACAAAAATGATTCTCTCATTGTCACCGAACATAATGATGGAGAGGAGAAGGTTATTGCTCTGAGAGGTGATGATAACGATGATGATGACGTTTCATCGTGATAATCATCAACAACTTCGTCATCGTTCAATGCTTCCGGTTGATGTCATCAAATCATCATCAGGAAGTGACGATGTTGATTCAATAGATGAAAATGACGTCACTGATGTTGATGACGTCACAGACTTTCCATCATTTGATCCATATCCTGACGATGCGGATTTCAATGATGACGTTGAAACTCTGCTCATTTTGCTGCTGTTTAGTTGTTTACGTTGAATTTTGGGATATTAAATGTTGTTGCTGGTTTTGTGTTGAATACCGATTGACGTTTTAATGATATCGCATCATTACCAGTGTTTATATATTCCTTCAATTGGCCAACAAAGTGATTTATTGCAAAGTGAGTAACGGTGATTGATAGAAATTTATCGATGGTTAATATTGGGCATGTCTCAATAAAGCTCTCTAATTAGCATCGACTTTGTTTCTTATCGATGATCCTTCTAACAATCTTATAACATGTTCATGCTGGTTTGCATATGTTTGATGTGGCACGCGCTCTCAACACTAATGTATTCAAATTGCTTATCTGACCGAAATTATAACTATTCGCATTTCTTTTGTTGCTAAACTAACTAGTAGTCTCTTGATTTCAACTTTGTCACAAATTTTCTACAATCGAGGATATATTTTACTCTAGAAATCAATACTTTTATTTATTTAATTCTTATTGGGATAGCATATTTTCACAAAATACACTTTTCTCCTTATTAAAAATCAATATACATTTGCAGTGATTGCATGCAAGAAGTAAACATGCAGCACTCGCTCTGTTTTCCTTGTTTACAAATCCGGTTTATTACACTACAAAAATTGGATAACTCATAAAGGTTTACCTAGTTGGCAATAATAAAATTTAAGTTTTGTAATAAATTGAAAAATGTAATAAAATGGTTAGATTATATCGTTTGGTCTTAAGTTGAAATTTATTAGAACTTTTCATATTATTTCTAATAATTTTTTAAAATAAATTCTCTCATCAAATTCAACTTTGTTTTTCCTTTTAGTTTCAATAAATGAAACTAGTGCTTAAACATGCAAATACTTATTGTTATTCATTTTTCAAAAAGATTCACTGTGTATACGCACTATTAAATGCATCCATTTTGACCCTTAACTAACTAACTGCTCTACTCAAATCTTTCCGCCTCATCTTAACAATTTCCTGCACAAATTTCCCCTTTCCGATCGGTGAGAGCCTCATTTAATTTTTGTCAAGTTCCATGCGCAGTTCATCATTTTCCATACGTAACGTAGGGTAGTCAAATGCAATTTTCCTTTTTTCCGGGAGGCATGACATTTTTGAGGTCTCAGCTTTATTTCAAAAGCAACCAAAGAGTGGTCAGTGTCACAATCAGCACTTTGATATGAACCTGTCAATAATATATTGCCAATTTTTACATTTCTTGTTAAGATTACATCTAATTGATGCCAGTGTCTAGATCTGGGATGTTTCCACTGTTGTGGTTTAGTTTTAAAATATGTATTTGTGATACATAGTTTGTGGTATGAACAAAATTCAAGTAGTCTTGGTCCGTTTTTGTTCATTATACCAATACCAAATTGCCCAATGCAATCCGGACAAGAGTTATGAACTTATCCTACTCTAGCGTTGAAATCACCCAGCACCAACAGATGCTCTTTTTGGGATAAGCAGCCAATCGTTCTCTCAGGTTTCCATAATACCTATCTTTGTCCTACATGGATCAGCCTAGTGTAGGGGCATATGTGCTAATCAGGGTGGTATTTGTGGCTGTCTTTAAACCAACCCTCTAAGGAGGGGAGAGTTATCATAGGAAGTAGACTATTTTTGACCGCAAAACCAACCTCGTGTATTCGGCTCTCATGTTCAGGTTTACCTTTTCAAAAGAAAGTGTAATCTGTTTCACAAAGCACCTCATCATCCACCAATCTTGTTTCCTGTAAGGCCACAATATCATATATTTAACCCTTTCAGCTTATGATTTATTACTGCTATTTTTCTTGAGTCATGAATCAGTCAAAGATCATATCCAAGCCAGGGCAAATTGTTTTCTTTATAATTTTGTTTTTGTTTGTTGCAAGTGTTCAGCCTGCTTGTTGATCTAATATTCTAATCTAAACTCCGAACACCTATTAGAGCAGGCAGGAGGGTTGCCCAGATTAGGCTGATAATAATAATAATATATAAGACAGCAAATAAATAAATGACACGCATGCAAACATATTTATCATTAAAACAACATATAATATAATGTTTCAAATTATTCACTCACATACATTTCTCGTCCAAACATTTTAAAATGTTTTTAAAGTCTTTTATTCATTGTTGTCATACATTTTATTTCGGTACGAGGACTGCGTTGTTCATTGGTGAATCATTTGAAATTCTCAATAAAACATTCTTATGAATTTCTCAACAAATTCTAATTAAATAAAAAAAGGCTGGTAAAAATAAAAAATGTTTTCAGTACCAAATAAAATATTCATATATTTCGCTAATGAGTTACGAGTTGTTTCAATGAAACACGTTCCTACCGAAGTGTATTTGAAACAATCGTGTGTGTGTGCGTGCGTGTGTGTGCATGTGTGTGTGTGTAAATGCTGTAGTCAAATTCTTTTGTCATTAAATTACAAATTTTGACCATTTAACCAGAAATAATTGCGAGTATCGATTTACATTCATAAAATATTCATGAGGATGCATGTACATGAACATGTGCGTGTTGACGCCCATGTCATTGCTTCCAACTCTGTCTTGCTAGCAAAGTTGAAATGAATTTTTTAAAACTTGTCAACGTTTTCCTTGGTCAGATGTTAGCGCTGGATCTAATCATCCAAATAACTCTCCTTCCGTTATCATCATTCTCCTCACCATCGTTGTTGAACTCTTTGGTGCCAGTACTGAACTTCTCCAACTTAACTTCATGTTTCCAGAGCCTCCGGATGAATTCAACAACACCACCCACCACCAATCTGAAGAACCCCAACGATGTTAGTTTGTGCTCAATAGAGGAACCAACTGCATCATCAGGAATGGATCTATATTCCTTGGATGGTCAATCCGATGATCAGATACCGATATTTTTGATCTTATGTGCAGCTCTCTGTCGGTATAAACTACCGAGACAGGCTATCTGTCAAGGGTTCAATGTTAGATTTGATTCAGGGATGTGCGAGTTGTATCGTTACCAATCGGTTTATTTTACACGTCAGTTTGGATGTACCTATTACGCGGTAAAATATGATTCTTCTCACCAACTTTATTTAGATTTTTTCAATTAATTTCATTTTTATAAAAAATTTTCAATTTAAAAATTTCTTGTTTTAAATTTATTTTAATATTTTTGATTTTCATAAGCAGTTGGAACCAGTAAATAGCAGAGGCATCGTTGTAACATCAGCATATCCCTACCAACAGTTACTCATCAAATCACGTACGTATGTCAACATCATTTTTACAACATTATTAGTTTAAACATGTGTCAATCATTGTTTTTAATCTTATTTATCAATAATTTTTTTTCTCTAACTGAAAATCCTAATAACTGGCAAAAATTTAAATAAACCCTGAATTGTTTCAATATCTGTCATTTGTCATTACACGTTCATAAACATTTTTTTCTCTTTTTGAGCTTTTAGAGTCACTTTTAAAAGTCATGATTAATACAAATGTTCATAATTTTTTTTTATAAAAAAAATCTACTTTTTGGAAAAATAAAAAAAAATAAAATAACTCAAACTCTGTCACACCTCAAATAATTTTAACTTAAACTAACTGAAAAGTCGTATTTGATCAATTGAAATGTCAATCAGTTATTCGGATTTTGTTAAACATCTCATCAATTTCATTTGTGTTTTTTCAATCTGATGTGGAATTCTGAAATTTGAACTGTCTCAAACCAGAATTTTTGTGAGCGTTTTAGAAAAAGATGTTGACTCTATTCAATTGCGTCGCTCATGATGGCCGTCTGGTTAATTTTTAGCGGAGAATAATGCAACAGATCTAAAAACCATCTTAAGAACAACCACAATTCATAACAAAAAAAGTTGAAGTATCCCTAAAAAGGAAGAAAATATTTTTGCCAACAGTAACTAATTTGAACAACTAATTTGGACGCCCTTAGCTTTCAATTTTGTTTAAATTTGCATCCTATAATTTAAAAAATTTGGAGAGCAATTAATTATAATTTCCTATACCTCCAAATATCATATAACTTATTATTCAGCTTTACCTAAAAACAAGTCAACACCAACTTTCACTTTTCTGGTTCAAATAAAACTCAAGCCAGACTCAACTGCCTTCAACAAATCTCGGTCTCAGTTCAAAGTCGGTTTTTCGGTTCCAAATATGTCGATATCATCGAGCAGCACGTCGGATAATAACGATTCCGGAGTTAAGGATAAAATGAGTGGCGGATCTTGCGGTACTACATCTTGGGATGCCTATTGGATAGGTAATGAGTTATTGTACCAGCTGACGAACAAATATACATGCAGCCTCCATGTTTATCTCTCCGTCAACGATTGTGAGTTCAGTTTACTGATCTTTTTGTTTTCACGGGTGTTTGTTTGATTGAATATTGATGGAGTCGATTCGAAAGGTTATGCTCAGTTAGCTGGAATCGGATGTGTTTTTAAAATAAGCAAGTGACAGCAATATTACTGGCCTACAACTAAACTTAAAACCTGACCAGCCGGAAGAGCCAAACTTTACTACTCATATTACGACCGTCTGGTTGTTGGTGGGGAGAATGTTAACTACAAGTTGATCACTTTGAATTACTTCGGTGGAAACATGAGCACAGCTGACGGTTTCTCTTCCAGGGAGGGGAGGCACTTCTCGACGTATGACGATGACAATGATCCAGATTCCAATGTTAACTGTGCTCTCGTCTGCGCAGCAGGTTAGACATAATTAATGCTAATTTATTATACTTTTTAAAAAAGGCTTTCCTGTGGTACTTGCAACAAACGCACAGCACATGTAAATACGCAAGAATCCACGCATCACAAACTTGGCGTGTGATAGACGAGAATCTACTTGAATTCAAATCCGGTTACTGCAACATCTTCATCATTAATTACACTATATCATGATCGAGAAAGAACTATATTAGATGATAAATTAATTAATCATTTCAATTTGTTATGTTTTCTACTTCCTCTGCAAAACAGGATGGTGGTATAGTGGATCACTAACAGGTTATGGGTCGTGCGGTTTCACAAATTTCAACACCCACTATCCCAACTTTCTGACGTACTCTTATGGTGAATTCTTCCAGCTGTTCAGCTCCCAAATGTGGATGCAATGCTTCTAAATGTTCATAACTTTTCTATTCAATTTTTTTAAAGCTTCTTCACGCTTGCATTTGTTTATATTAAATGCAAATTTGTATATGTTCGTGTTATCAAAAACTATACACCGCTGTTAATTATTCTAATCTAATTAATATCATTGTTATAACGGTGGTTCAGGGCCGCCACCAAGTTGGCAGTAGGACAGAGCAGGTTTGTTGGTTTGACGAGCATTGGATAGCTGACGATTTTCCCTATCTGTCATAATGGAAACTCTATTTATTATCATCAAACCTCAAAATATAAAATCAATTATTGTAAATATACAAAATGTTTATGTGACAATAATAATAACAATGAGAATAGTTATAAAAATATTAATATTTATAGCGATAAAAATAGAACAACAACTAACAAAAAAGTTTCTACTTTACGATAGTTTTACTTTATTCATTTCGCCACATGACGTAGCTACAAAACATAATTTCGGAAGTGGAAATAACGGAGTTTAGAAAAAAAAACAGCTTCATACAGACGACGCATATCTATCTAAGGTGTTTTTAAAATGATAATTTATTTTATTTTATTCGCTAGTGTCATTGTTGATTAATATTTGTTTACTGTAACTTCTTATCGCAACCTGATATTGTTATCATATATTAATATCATAAATGATTAAATGAATAATCAGTTGCAATTGATAAGTTTGAAACATGAACTACAGAAGCGGAATAAGCATCTAAAAGTCTAACAAAAATTTTTAAAATGGGGATATTCAAAAATGAATACCATCAACAAACGTCAGTAGTAAGTTACTAATACCTATTGCGAATGTATAGGATCGAAAAGCTGCAATTATTGTTAAAAAATTAAAAAATAGTTGTTTTGGTTTTACAGATTGAAAAATATATTTAAAAAAAAACACTAAATTATATGAAAAAAGGACTTTTAATCACATTTTAGTTAAAAATAGTAAAATATGAAGTGATTGAATGAAACTAGGAAGGGATGAATTATTCTTAATGTATATGATGTTTCACCATACGTCTGTTTTTACTCACTATGGACCAAATTTTTTTGAAACATTTTAATTGCACGTGATGATGTACTTAATCTGGCGGTTGGGATGCATCCGCCCTCCAAACCATGAAAAAACAAAATGTCGAAGGTTCTGTGTGTAATATGGTAGTAAAAATATATACAGATATAGGGGCATTAGCAAAATAAGTCATTAACTTCACAGTGTTTAAATCCTCCTCCCCCAATGGCGAATATGGGGGGACCGTTGGAGCACTGCCTCCCCCGTTGTGAGTTTTTTTCATCGAAGTCAGAAAAAGAAACGTAGATTTAAAAAGGTCCGTTACTGATACAAATTAAATTCTTTCAAAATTGTTAGAGGTGTTTCCGTAATAACTTTAAAATGAATTCTTTTTCATCAAATAATAAAACCGTGAAAACATTTCATTTTTACATAATATTCAAATTATGAAAATCTAAAAGCAAAGATAATTTTTTTAGCTTTCAATAGCACTCAAAATTTTTCATAATGGCTAGAATCTTACATATGGACAATGAATTTTCACAACGTTTACATTCGTCTAAAAATTTAATTTGGTAACGTGAAATTCTGTCATTCTCATCTCAATTGCTTTTATATTATAATCACTACTTACAATATCAATATCCAAGTATAGGATCAAACTTGACATTTTGATCGTCAAGTTGGATCTCAACACGCTTCTGTGTCTTTCCACCCTTTAACTCAAGCCCCTCTGGACGGAATCTGAAATCATTTTTGTCCTTTCTTTATAGCATAATAGATTTTTCAGTTGACGAAAAGTACTGCGGATGGGAACATTTAATTTTTTGACGTGAGTTGCGTCGTACTGATCGTCAATTTTTTTTGAATCTCAATAACGTTATCAAGTATTTTATTAAAAAATTGAAACTTAGATGAATAATAGTTGTTTATTTAATATTAATTCTATTAATATTTCCCAGGGCATCACATTCTTCACTATATTATGCATTTTGTATAAACTTTTTACATTCGAAAGTGCATGTACACGTACAGTATACATTGCTTACAAAAAGCCCAAAAATAGAAAAAAATTGTAAAATATATATACAACTGAATTTTTAAAAATGCACATGGACAAATTGATATGAAGCAAAGAAATTTTTAAGTTAAAAAATTTTTTGTTTTGTTTTGCACTAAGATATATTTTTCAACAAACAATATATGCGTATGGGTATGTAACTGTACAATGATTAGTATATGAAGGGTATGATGATGTACCATATATTTTTATAGAAATATATTTATAGATATGTGTGTGTATATTTGTTTGTGTGTGTGTGTTTGTGTGTGTAAAATTTATATACATAACGTAAATAAATATAAAACATTCTATATGTGTATATATATGTATATGATTCTAAGTATATGTACATTCTAATATGTATATAAGAGCATTACTTTGGCAAAAGTGTTTCGACCATCCATCGCGTTCACTTTTAATCATTAGCATCGAGTCAACTTTTAAATACGTGGTGCATGAGTTGATTTTTTTGTCAATTTTGACACTTCAATCAATCAGTTAGTTTCCTCAGAACGAGTTGACACTTTGAGGTTAAACAAGAATATTTTTATTTAAATGTTTTGCTAATAAATATGAGATTTTAATTTTTGTTTGGTGAAACTGATAATAATCTTTTGAAAGTTAAAATTTAATTTAAGTTTTTTAAAAGATCTCTAACTAAGTCTAAGTATTACTAAATTATATTATTAATAGTAATTTAAAAATATTAATTTAAATTTTTACTTAAATTTTTTACTGCTGTATTAAATACAATTTTTAAAATATAATCTTAACAAGATCTCACTTTTCTTTCAGTTTCAGGGATTCTTAGTCTCACTGACTGCCTGGCCTATGCTAGAACTGACAGATCTTCTAATATCACTGAGAAATGGCGACTAACATGTTTCACCCATGTTCAGTAAAGGTGGTTGCTGATGAATCTGATGAGAGGACTTGTTTTAGAACGCCCCTATCTGGCAGGTGCCAAACTTTCTTGAAGTCTTCAATAATTAATTAATTATTTTTCAAATTGCAAATGATTTTATTTATTATAATTATATTGAATATTAGATATAATTTAAAAATTTTTTAGCAATGGTTACTGAGTTTAATTAACAACAACAAATATCTATACTTGTTACAAGAATTGAACTGAAAATAGGTAGATCAGCAAATGCTAACATTTAACTGCAATATTAATGTCATCATTAATAATAAATAAATGAAGAAATTGTTAATAATGGATTAATTAAAGACCAAAAATGTTAAAAGTAGACTGCGTAAACATATTTCTAAAAGTAAAATATGAGATAGTCGTAGATTATAAATAGAAAAACCAAACAAATTAGGTACAGTTGTCCAGAAATGTCGGCAAATTTCAGTGAAGTGAAAAAATTTTCGACATGGAGATTACTGTGGGTGTACCTAGCTCGAGCAGAACAGGTTTGTAGTTATTATTATCTTTTTTATTATTTATATTATTATATAAATTATATTAATATATATATATATATGATATATATTATTGTATATTATAATTAATATATCGTAATTAATTTAATTTCGAATGTAATCATTAAAAATAATTATTACTATGATCAATATGTTTGTTAGTAACTTTACTTTTTTGAATACGACAACAAAGATCTTCACCTGTAGCATGCTACGTGTGTGACGCGTCGTGTAGCATTTGTATGCACGTGAGATGTTTGCGTCTTGTTGGTTTCTCAGTACCTAGAAAGAGTGTAACAGACTTCTAACCTTTCTCTTACTGATATTAATAATAGTTTTAGAATTAGCATCAGCAGTTGTTTAACTGTAATAATATCACTTACTCATTTTACATTTGATTGAGTCTTCATAGTTACAGAAGAAATTGTAGTTGCTGTTAAACTTGCAATATTTTTATTTTATTTATATATATATATATATATATATATATATATATATATATATATATATGTATATAGAGAGAGAGAGAAAGAGAGAGAGAGAGAGAAAGCATTAAAAGTAAACCAGCATAAGTTAGTTACGTTTCTGTTTGCATTTGAACCAGGTTGTTGTGACACTGTTTTTGAGACGTTCATCCAACTTGACAATTTATAAGCTTGATCAGATTTTTTGATTTTTCAGTATTTTTTGGCTGTCTGGTTCATATGACGAAGCCATACTCCCTATATGTTTACTTATCTTACTGATTTGAGAGCCATTTTTTTACTATTATTCAAATACAACCTAATTTAGTTATTGACGCACAAACATCAAAATGTGCGTGCGTGACTGTGTTTGTGCGTGTGTGTGTGCGTGTATTGTGTGTGGCCGTGCGTGAGTGTGGGCGTGTGTGACTCTGTGGGTGTGTCATTCTTTTTTTCTTTTGTTGTTCGGTCCATCGCATTCTTCTCCTTCCTTTATTCCCACATCATCATCATCACCGTCATCATCATCATCTGGCATTTGTTGATGATGTCATGACAACAACAGCACACCAATCGATGAAGATCTTCACGAACAAAAAATCTCCCCTCCACTTTTCCATTGTTGGCGACGTAGCCAAACAACAGCAAGCAAGAGATGATTGATTGAATGAATGACTTCGCAAAATTTCAAAAGTAATTCTTCTCTATTCTTCATTCCTCAGGTTTCCAAGCAGGAAACAATGCTCACTTGTGTGCATGTATTATGCTACGTATTCTGTGTGTGTATGTATGTACGTGTGCGTATTTTCTTGTATGTACGTGTACGTATTTAGTTGTATGTACGTGTTTATACGTGTATGCTTGTACCGATAATATGTATATATATATATATATATATATATATATATATATATATATATATATATATATATCTTTTTATATATATGAAAGCGTCTATAAAATTGATAAGTGACTCGAGTGATGAAAGATCGTTAAATGATATCTATTTCATCAAAGAACGCCATCGAGACCATTGTTTCCAACGAATTAGGAAAAAACTTAGCAGTTATATCGCGGACCAGTTTTGTTGCAACAAAACTTTAAAAAAAATATATATATATATATATATATATATATATATATATATATATATTGTATGCCTGTAAAATTCTCTAATACAAATTGAATAATTTGATTATAAGTTAATGAACATTAATAAATCTGTGGAATTTATTACATACTGTTTATACTTGTATCACCATGTGTGCGTTGTATGTTTGTGTTATATGTGTGTGTTGTGTGTGTGTTTTGTATGTTGTATGCCTGCATACTCCAAGTTCTTCGTGTATTTGTTTGCGTGAAATACGCTATAAGTAGCACGCACGCACGCACAGATACCTTTATACATCCATCATTGCGACTGTACATACTCGTGCACGCTCCATTACGTGTTCAGACGCGACGCTTCCCTGATATAATTATAAAAGTTATCGAAATACTCGCCTTCTTATGTGCCTCCATTTTCGTTTACTGTAAGACGGTCAGTTACAATCACGGGGTACGTGCTTCTTCATCTTCCACGTCTTTTCCCAGATTTCAATGCATGGCCATCCACTCGGAAATATTATCGATATTGTATGCTGGCATACTTGGAGCGCGACGATACGGTTCTTGCATACTCTACTGTTATAGCAATCAGTGCGTCACGTTTGTGTGGTGTTGGGTGTTTCAGCCTTTGAAATGGTTTTCAAAAATTTTCCGCATGAAACCATTAAAACTTGTGCATGTGCTTGCTGTTTGTTGCACTAATAACTTTGAAATTTGTAATTATAGAGTGCTTGCTACCTGCTGCATCGTGCGGGTATTGTTTAACATTGCTCCACTGATGCGCGCGTTCAATAGAATTCGTGCTCGATATTTTAATGAATAAAATATGAGTCTGCCATATATGTATAAAGTTTGAATGTGCGTATGCACTGTTTGTTTGTTTGACAAATTCAGTTTTTGAAATAAAATCTTATTTTCATTTGGTAGCTTGTTTTATAATTGATCTTGAAACGTCAAAATGTGAGTACAAGAGTATGATATTTAATAGGAAAAATGTAATTTATTGGAATGCCTTTCTGAGGCAGGTTCTTTGTTAGGCATTTTGGATCGATGGCGCTTTTCATGGGTCATCGTCGCATCATTAACATCATTGTCTTCTTTTATTTTGTCGTCGTCGTCATTTGCTAATTGTACTCTTTTTGTTGCTCTGTTGCTATCCTCATAATCGTCGTCATCGTCGTCATCATCATCTCCGCCATCATCGTTTTTGTCGTCACCAATCGTTACAACTCCAATTGTCGTCACGCTATTTATTATTCTATTAAGCTTAAAAACTTTGGTTATTTTTATATTATATTATATATATATATAGACTGGAAGGAGATCATCAAATATTATATATATATATATATATATATAGACTGGAAGGAGATCATCAAATATTATATATATATATATATATATATATATATATATAGACTGGAAGGAGATCATCAAATATTATATATATATATATATATATATATATATATATATATATATATATATATAATAACAGAATATATATGCATATGTACAAACAAACAAACATACATTCATACATACAAAAATAAAAAGTTATAAGTAAGTGCAGATGGAAAACAACAAACGTGATGTTAAAAGTCTATTGAATTAAGTCTATGTTCAAAAAAACTAAATTAATTGTTTGGGTCTAATTAATTTTCTTAAGATATTTAAAAGTTACAATAAAGTTTAAATTAAGAATTGGGAATTATACTAAAAATTAAATAAAAAACAACGAAATGAACAAAACGATGGAGGAGGAAGACAGCATCCATCTTTCTTACTCGTCTGCTCTCTCTATCAGGTACAAGTTGAACTGCCCTGGAATGTCTTTCATCTTCGGAGACGCCAACAAAATCAGGATGTGGAGATGTCTCTGGTACTGGCTCGCCAAATGCAGCAAGGTTGTTTCGTTTGCCATCTGCTCCGTCTGACAACCGGTTGCATATCAACAACTCATTTCATTGAATTCAATAGACTGCTATGCAAATGTTAGGTTGGCGAGAAATTAACGTTACGTCCTGCTGGCCGTTGTGAAACCTAAATGTTGCAACAGTCAGTCAAAATTAGAACCGACCAGTTAATTAGGATTCGTTTGATTGACACCGGTAGGATGAAAATCGTTGGTTTTGTAGTTGACGAACTTTGGGAAGACGATTTTTGCAGTTACTTCCGTTTGTGAATCCCTCATTGTCTAAAGGATATTTTAAACGTTTGAAAAATTGAAATTTAATGTTGAGAGGTAAAAGTGTGCGTGATGACTTAGACGGATCGTAACCGACCTTTTAACGTTGGTCATTTTCGTCAACCAGTTAATAACGAGCGTTGTTAGTGTAATCTCTTTTGTTATTTGTCAGTTTGCTGGCAATGATTTTCCATTGAATTATTTAAATGGTTTTAAGAAGCTGCCGTGAATTAACATTGCAATCTACTTTATTTTCATTGGATCATGGTTTAGTTTAGCTATTACAGCTAATAAAACATCGTTACCTTTGGTATAGGTACAGAATGTATCTGATAGATTCAATGCGTCTAAGAGTTTGAAAGTTGGTAAATCGAAAATAATTATATTAAAAGTGCATGAAATTCAAGTTTGTACATTCTCGCTTACATGTAAATTGAAATGAAAAATGTATGAAAGCATTCAGACCCCAGTATACGCACGTATGCAAGCGAAGGGACACATGTTTTCATGCGTCACCTAGAATGTGGATGGGATGGGAACACATTTACGAGCAGGCCTAACATTCTTACATGCTCTACTCACACGCACGTGTACACGTACATAAACTTTCTTTCACACAGAAACTCGGGCTGGACATAACTGATGTGCAGATTGAAGAGCTGGAGCGTGCGGTCAACGAGAAGATCAACTTCGATCTAGCAGCTAAAGAAGAGAAGAAGCGAAGACACGATGTGATGGCACATGTGCACACACTGGCCGCTTCCTGTCCCAATGCCGCGCCCATCATCCATCTCGGAGCTACTTCATGCTACGTTGGAGATAATACGGTTGGTTCGTTTTGTTTGTCGGTCGGTCCATGGTTGGCTGGCTGGTTGGTTTGCTTTGCTAGTTGTTTGGTTGGCTGGCTGGTTAACTGGTTGGCTAGCTGACTGGGTGAGTGGATCTTGAAATATTTTTCTGTTTTCAATATTTTCATAATTTTGCAACATTTTCCAATAAAATTTCATCACACTCATCATCACATTCATCATCACACTCATCATCACACTTATCATCACATTCATCATCACATTCATCATCACACTCATCAATCACAGGATCTTATAGTTATGAGGGACGCCTTCGATATCCTCTTGCCAAAAGTTTGCATTCCTGTAATCTGTAATTTAAGTTAACTAATCCCACAATTAAAATTCATAATTTCTATAATTGTAATTCATAATAAAAATTTGATAATTTCATAATTAGCACTAAAAATTATTTTAAACATCCCCACACCCAGCTTGCCAGATGCATTCAGAGGTTGTCATTATTTGCAGACGAGTATAGAGACCTTCCATGCTTAGCCTACACGCACATGCAGTTTGTTTGCAGTTTATAGTATAGAATTATTCCATGTTTTTTTTCCATTAGTAATTATTTAACGGTTATATTTAAAGAATTGTTTAACTGTTGTTAATTCGTTAATGGTATTTCGTCAATTTTTATTTAATTTTTTATTTTTTTATTCATCGCAAGTTCTAACTCATAACTTAGATTGAGTCTATTCAAACATACGTACACGATAATCATCTCAGCTGCTGATTCATCAGCAAGTTTTTTTCTCCATTCACCCATTCCCATGCCCACAAAATATATACTTGAATACACATAACCACACAAAAACACACGCAAATACACGCACAAAAATATGAATACGTCTAAATACACACATAAACATAGGAATGCATCCAAATACACACATATACAAGTACATACAGACGTTCAGTAGAGGCGTTCTCAAAAATCACACACCTTCGCTCAAACAAATTCTCACAAATACTTGAAACTAGCAAGCGCGCACCAACGGATACATTCGCACAAACACTAACACATTCTCACGAACACACGTACAAACATTCACGCGAAAACACACACTTTCACACTCACATAAACACACACTCACATACACACACACTCACATACACACATTCTCACACACGCATTCATAGACACATACACACATCCACACACACATCCACACACATCCACACGTACAGACCGGCCCAGCTGACGACAGTAGGCAAGAGGGTCTGCCTATGGATCCAGGACTTGCTGATGGACTTGAAGGGCATGCAGAGGACCAGGGATGACCTGAAGTTTCGTGGCATCAAGGGCACCACGGGCACCCAGGCAAGCTTCCTCGAACTTTTCGATGGAGATCACGAAAAGGTGGTGAGGGGTTAGGTGATGGAGTGGTAGGTGATGGAATGTGAGGTGAGTGGTACTAGATGGCTGTAGATATGATTATTATGACGTGACTGGTCGCTATCAATAAAATCAAATCAATCAGCCAGCAAATTTGCGTTCATTATGTTGAGAACATTCATGTCAATGATGGTGATGACGACGACGACGATGAGGATGATGATGATAGTAATAACGATGGTGATGATTATTATGATAAGAACGACGACGATGATGATCCTGTCTTTGTTGTTGTTGATGATGATGATGATGTTGGTCTACCCCAGGTTGAACTATTGGACAGAATGGTGACAGAAATGGCGGGATTTAAGAGGTACGTCCATTTCGTTGGTTGTCATCGTTTTATAACGCCTGATTCAAATTTATGCATTTGAGTGAGGGGGGGAAGAATGATTGGATGGAAGAGTTTTCCAGAATAATGAGGTAATTAATCAAATAAATAACCAAGAAAGCTATTTGGTTAAGTCGTTGAAAGCAAGCAACGTTTAACAGAAACTTTTTGATCTGTGGTCAAACATACACGAGAAAGGTGGACGTGGAATGTCTCTCCTCATTGGCTGCCCTTGGTTCAACTGTTCATAAAGTACGGGGATTCTTATTGGTTGATTTTTAAAATAAATAAATTTGATTGGTTTGTTGTGTGGATAAGGCTTTTTCAAAAAGGCTTTTGATAGAAGAGGTATCAGATAAGGGTTTTAATGTACGGTTTATTTAAATTTGTATCATATCTTTCTTAATTGATGTGTTGTTAATGATTTGATCTTATTTTTTATTAGCGGTTCTAATATTTTTAGCTCTTAGCAATAAAAATTTTGCAAATTTGTGAAGAAATAGTTTATAATCACGAAACCTGATGAACAGTTATGCACGGACCTCAGATTGTTGGCGTCCTTCAAAGAGTTGGAGGAACCATTTGAGAAAGATCAGATTGGTTATACAACCATCCAATAATTCATCCATACATCCATGATCATAGAACCATCCAATCATCCATCCATACATCCATCCAATCATCCATCTATTCATTCATTCATTCGTCTATCTATCCATCAATTGTCATCATCTCTTTTTTTATTGATCTCTTGTTCTCGCTTTATTCGTTTGTTACTAATTTAATTATTGAAACATTTTTACGTACCTCCTTTCACATTTCTACCATGCAACGTTTTATTTCCTCGTTCGTCACCAGAATTATCGTCACCGTCATCTTCGTCATCTTCGTCATCTTCATCATCGTCATCGAATTTTTTGTTGGACCGGAGTCCGATATTTTCCATCCGACTCCAACACTCTGAACCATCAACACACGCGCCGCATGTAAACACTCGTGAATCTATGCATCTAACACAAATGGCACGTGATAGGCAGGGATCTTTTCGCATTCGAATCCAGACACTACAACTGCAGTGTCGGGCACTTTAACCATTACACCATCGCGTAATCCATCGCTAAACAACATAGCAATAAGAACGACAACATCAACCAGGATCTTCAGCGATGGCCTACAAGCGCAACCCGATGCGCAGTGAGAGGTGTTGCGGGCTCGCCCGACACCTCATGACCCTGGTACAGGACGCCCTCATGACGCACTCCAACCAGTGGATGGAGAGGACGCTGGATGACAGCTCCAATAGGTTGGTCGCTCTCCTGATTGTGATGCTCATTATGACGATGATGTGATAGGGATGGGGATGTTGATATTGATATAGGATGCTGATGATGACGATGATGTTAATGAAGGTGACGATGATGACGTGGAAGATGATTTTAATGGTGATGTAAGATGTTGATAATTCATTAGATGTAGCAACAAAAACCACACGGAATCCACGCATGCATCACACGCGATTAAGACGCCACGAATCATCTCGCATTGCATCCAACCCAGCCTCTGCAACCATTTTATCATCGCGCTGGCCAATAATTTTTATTATTATCATCACTATCATTATTATCATTATTATTATTATTATTATTATTATTATCATCACTATCATTATTATGATTGTTATTATAATTGTAAACAGGAGAATCAGCCTGCCCGAATCATTCCTGACAGCCGACATCATGCTGTCCACTCTGCAGAACATCTCTGAGGGCATGGTGGTCTACCCCAAGGTGATGTTGGTGATTATGATGGCGAAGCAATGACGACGATGATGATGATGTTGTGGCGATGATGATGATGGTGATGTGAGTAGTTGAATGAAACATATTTTTGCCGCCAGGTGATAGAGAGAAGGGTGAATGAGGAACTTCCATTTATGGCCACCGAGAACATCATCATGAATATGGTCAAGTTCGGGGCGGACAGACAGGTCTGTGAGAACTCTTTTAATGGCCAACTGATTCATAATAAAATTAAAATAGTTATATAATATTATAGCGCTAATAAAATCTATAAAATCGACCAAGAAGAGCAGAGTAGAGAAGAGTAGAGTTGAAAACGACATGTTTATTTGTCTTGCGAAGACCGCACAGTTGGCATAGATGGTTTTGTGCTTTTTCCCATTTGAACACACTCATATTTGTTGACTACTGCTGGACCAGATATTTTCTGGCAGATTTTTTATTGTCTTTGACCAACATGATATGCGGGCTGTTTGAACAAATTTCTTTATTTTTCAAAATCAGTAAACCTTGGCTCTGCAGTGAAAGTACACGATTTAAACTAGATTCAATCCATTTGTCTTCAAACTGCTTAAGGGATGTTTTTAGAGTGCCTCCATTCGTGACCTCATTATCAACCTTGATATAATCGATGGATGATTCTCTTCATAAACATTAAATTTCTTTCTGGTCTTGGAATAATAACGGAGTTTCAGCTTCGTTTTCTCCGAGGCATCTTTCTGTGAGATGATGTCACGACTCGCCATTTTTGAAGGTAATTATAGTAGTTTCGATACTTAGCTGTTGATTGGAATATTTAGCCATTCTCTAACCCTCCCTACAATTAAGCTATCTAAATTTTCTAATATCCAAGTCAAGTCAGCGATAATTTGTAGCTGCGCAGTTCAAAGTTTAGCTGTAAAGGTTGCGTACCTTCTTAAAGTTTGAAGTTTCTGTTGTGGACTGGCTGACATCTAATTTTGTAGTCGTTTTCAACAGTTGAACCACTTCTGCAAGAATCGTGATTTTGCTTTTTGATCATTACCATCGCGGTCGTATATCCTGCCTAGATAAGTGAAACCCTCCTTACCAAGCAATCCCCACATTGGGAGTAGCTGCGTCGTTGTTGGTCAGCCTGGACGAAGATTGTTGGTTAGTAGGTACTATCTTGCTTCCTCATTCCAAGTGAAGAGCATTTATCATCTCGCATCTTCATCTCTGACCAAATGCAACAGGCCTGGTTTAGATCGACGAGTTTTTGTGCGTCTTCAGTACTGTGTGATATGATTGCCGGGTCGTCAGCAAACTCCAGCCAGTAGTAGTAGTAGTGGTTGTAGTGGCGGTAGCAGCAGCAGCAGTTGTAGAAGTAATCGTAGTAGTGGTAGTAGTAGATTTGGTGGTGGTAGTGGTATTAGTAGTAGTAGTAGTAGTAGTAGTAGAAATTGAACTAACAATAGTAGTACTGGTAGGGTAGAAGGAATAGTAAATAGATCGTCGTGTAATACTATAATTCTATTAGTATTAATTCTATTATATGTCGTTACATATTGAATGATCGCCGTTATTATTAACAACAATATTAATTATAATTAAATAATTGATTGATAATCTAATAACTTCAATTAAAACGTAGTTTATTAATTAATTAATTAATTAATTAATTGAGATTGCAGGTTGAGGTGTGATGATGATGGTAATTACGGTACTGATGATAATAAAGCTAATTATGATGATGATGATGATAATAACAATAATATTATTTTATTTTAATTATTATCGCTATTATTACTATTATTGGTTTTTAACTTTAAATAATTGCTACCATCTTCGTATTAATAACTTCCATCATCATCTTCGCCATCATTATCACACCATCACCATCTTTATCATCATCATCATCGCCATAATCATCATCATCCCTATCGTCCTCATCATCGTCATCACCATTTTTGTCGTCGTCTTCAGGAGTGCCACGAACGAATCCGTCAGTTATCCCAGGAAGCAGGGATGCGTGTGAAGTCAGAGGGACTTCCGAATAATCTTCTGGACAGGATCAAGGGTGATCCGTACTTTGCCCCGGTCAAAAGTTGTCTCAGTGACATCATGAATCCCAAGAAATTCATAGGACGAGCGCCACAACAAGTTCGTTCGTTCGTTCGTTCGTTTGTTCGTTCGTTCGTTTGTTTGTTTGCTAGTTCGTTCGTTTGTTTGATTCTTTTACTCGTTCACGTATTTTAATTTATTTGTTCACTTATTTATTCACCTTTTTGACTTATTAATTGACTAGTCAATTTTATTGATTAATGATTGATGACATTGATTGGTAGGTTGATTGATTCGTTTTTTTTATTGGTTGGTTGATTGATTCGTTGATTGGTTGATTGAATTATTGATGGTTGGTTGATTGATTGGTTGGTTGGTTAGTTGATTGGTTGGTTTGTTGGTTGTAAATTGACTGGTTGGTTAGTTGATTGATTGGTTTGTTGGTTGGTTAGTGGATTGATTGATTGATTGATTGATTGATTGATTGATTGATTGATTGATTGATTGATTGATTGATTGATTGATTGATTGATTGATTGACCACTGCAGGTCGGTAAGTTTTTAGAATTGGAGGTCAAACCAGCCCTGAAGCCATACGCCAATCAGATGAATGAAATTGCAGACCTTGACCTCTAGGCGCAGCATTTTTTGACCGATCGCTGTTTGCCTAAATGAATCGTGTGATCTGATTCGTGGACATTGCGATAATCAAATTTGCTTTAGAATTTTTTTAAATATCATTTAGTGGTTTCAATTAATAATTAACTTATTTAGATTGTTAAAAACGCTTAGTCAGCTGTATTAAGTTAGGAAGCTAATAATATAATTATCAATTAAAAGCTATTTAATTGTTTAGAAAATTGTCACATTTTGCTGTTTAAATCGGAAGTTAAAAGTCGAAACATTTCCTAGTTCAATCAAGCTGCCACCATGTTTCACGCAACGTAAACGCTTCCCGTCTTTGCCATCGTATTTGTTTAACTCCGAATAAAATTTTGTTGAGTTGTTCAAATATCAAGAGTTGTTGCGTATGCCTGGTTGGTTCATCAAGCGTTAATCGTATTCAAAATAAATTGAATTCCAGCTATCGACTCAATAATGTTAATTTCTTCTGCTCATTTGATAAAACCAAGCAAAACTATGGACGCGAATTTCGACCTCATAGTCTGTCTCGGCCTCAACGTGTATTTCAATTGTGAACCTCGATAGCACTCAGTTTCACGATTCTCCAGTTACCAATGGATATTTTATTTTGCCTGTTGTTTCGTAAGCGCGGCAAAAAGTGGGCGAGGCTAACTTTCTCGAGTAAGCCGGAGGTGGAATGTCAAATTGATGTTATTTTTTTATTTTCTTTCTTATCTCCCAAGTATCAGACGCTCCTTCATTCAAACAAACGTCTGAGGTCGAAGGTACAAAATGAAATTTTAAAAATCGAGTCGCTCGCCAAGCCCTGGCGTCGTCAACTACCTCCATTTTCAGGCCATCTTTCTTCACGTTGGTGGTCTTTTCTAGCGGTTAATAAAAATAATGACTCTGATGACAGAGATGATGATGATGATTACAATCATAGTGACGATCTTAATAGTGACAGATACGATGATGACAATGCTTCTACTAAGGATGATGATGATGAGGAGGATTTATCATGCGACACTTAATCATCAGTCATCATTTTATAGCCATCATTAACATTAAATGAGATAGGCAAACACACATAAATATATATAACTATATATATATATATATATATATGATATATATAAATATATATATATGTGATATATATATATATATATATATGATATATATATATATATGATATATATATATATATGATATATATATATACATTGGTGAGTGTGGGCACCATAATTCTGAATATATTGGGCACCATAATTCTGAATATATTGGTTAACGACGATTAAGTTATCGAGAAGACTTACGATGCACGTACAAACTGGCGCTATAATCACATGAAAGAGAAACACGAAACTAAAATCACTAGACAAATCTTGGACAACAATGTTGAAATCTTACATTACAATAACAATCATTATAATTTACTACTAGCCGAGTCCATACTCACAGAAGCAGTGGCGTCACTAGCGGGGTGCGGGGGGTGCGGACCGCACCGGGTGACACCCTCACAGGGGGTGACACCAAAATATCACTGTATATGTTTTTATGTCCCTCCATGAAATTATTCTTATGATTAATTCAGCCTAATCCGCCTAGCGCCCAGAAATGTATTATGAATAAAATTTTTTTCGTTCAAATCATTTTTGTATTCTACATTTATACCATTCAAATTCGACGTCCGAATTATTAAGCGCCGCGGCCGAGCACATTTAACTTGTTCGTGTTTATAAATTTTGCTAAGAATGCTGTATGTCTATGGGGTGTCATGAGAGGGGTGACACCATGAGTTACCGCACCGGGTGACACCAACCCTAGTGACGCCACTGCATAGAAGAAAGACATCCGATAATAAATATTCACCAACGGGCAATTGGAATCCTTTCTACTAAGAAATTTAGAAACAGAGGAATCATCGGTAATGAAAACACGTAAATGTGTCATATAGCACAAAGTTGAAGAAGATCGTAGTTTAATGTTTTCGTTGGTACTAAAACGGTATCCAGCTATGCTCTACCATGCTTAAAATAAATTAAGCCAAAAAAAATAAAAATTTGAGTTTTGAACTCAAGAAACTTGATAATGATTTACGATCTACCGTTAGAAAAACCGAATAATTAAACAGAAAGCTAACTTGCGCGGAATATGCTGTAATTTTCATCAATAATATATTTATATGTATATTCATATATTTGTAAGGCCAATTTTACTGAAAATTCCCAGAAAATTATTAACAATCATTTTCTAGATTCGTCGTTAGATATTATTATTATTATTATAATTATTATTATTATTACAGTTATAAAAGTTTTCTAATTGTTTCAGCTTATAGTTTATTGTTTATTTGATTGCTCAGTTTTGCTTGCAATTTTTAGGAATCATTTCTATTTTTATCACTTTCGTCATCGTCATCATGGTCGTCATCTACATCATCATCACCAGACAGACAGATACCCCATCGTCACCATTATTCTCGTTAGCTTAACATTAACATTATCGTCGTCATCTTCATCATCGTCGTCGTCATCTTCACTATTTTATAAATGAATTATTTATTAATTACTCTTCGACTATCGTATTGAAAAGGCGAGCGGGTAATATTATATAATGTCATTTGTTATGGCCATATATTTTTATTTCATTTCAATCAATTTACTTATTTACTCTCTTCTTTTTAATTATTATTTTTCTCAAAAACACACGCGTTTGTACATAAGTAGGCGTAAATGAACGCATCACACACACGCGCGCTCACACACACACGCACACACACAAACACAAAAAAACACACACGCAAAATTCCAAGAGAAACACATAAATTGAAATACCGGCAACAATATAGTATAAATAAATGAATGAAAATAAATAAATTGGTATGTAGATCAGTCGATAAAATTATATTAATATTTATACAATGTAAATTCGACTTAATCAAGTAATTACAGTCTGTTTATATATGGGAAGACACAACACACACACACGCACACGCATACACACAAACACACACCACTCACACACACACACACATATATATATATATATAAATACAATCCATACACATGTGCACACATCTTATAATAATATTTACTATTAGTCTTATATATTATATGGAAAAATATATAGATCACATAATCATCCCATAATTATTACATTAGCTGTAACGATCTATAGTCAGTAAGTCATTTGTTATAGATGGATAGATAGATTGATTGATGGATGGATTGATGGATGGATAGATGGAAAAATAAATAGATAGGTAAATGAAGGATTTTTTTTCAAAAAATTTGTCAAATTTTTAATTTTATAGATTATTTCATTTTAATGCAATTTTTGTTATTTAATTATTTAGAATATTTCAATTTAGTTAATGACTTAATGGCACAATTGCAGTTGTTGTTGATGTTGTTGATGTTATTGTTATTGGTGACATTAGTTGTTAGTTTTGAAGTTTTTGGTCACTTACGTTAATTTGTGGGCGCGCACTACGATAATTATTATTATCCATCAGGTTTTCACGAGTTCAATATAGGTAAAATGGTTGTCAAACGTTTTTCAGAATAATTTTTTTCAAATTATTATTATTATTATCATTATTGCTATTATTATTTCTATTATCATTTTAATATTGTCTAGTATTTTATTAATACCATTTGAATTTCATTAAAATTAAATTTATTAATAATATTAGTCCAAAATGGCGGTTGAAGTGTAGGCTCTAATCTCGCTAAAAATAATCTGAAACGCCAAAAAACTGCCAAGATTTTTATATTGTCACTTTCGTAGCAGATCAACAACAACAAAAAATCTATCTCCAATTGATATTTACGATGATACATTATCGTTAAAACATTTCAGTTGCTTTTGCTAGTATCTATTATAAGACTAACTGAAGAGTGTAGGGCAGTTGATGATGTCCGCCGGACCACCTCTGCCGAAATTCCAGAGCTTCCTGACGGAGACGACCAGGAGGAAAATTTACCTGGTTCCTAAACTTAATTTCAGTAACAGTAACAGCATCAATAACAGCAATATTTTTAATAACAACAACAATTACAACAGCAGCAACAACAACAATAATGATATTAATAACAACAACACTATTGTTAATTGTAGCACTATTACTAAATACAACAGCAACAACAACAATAACACTGGCAATGACGTCATCGCTATCCATGACAACAACAACAATAATTTGAATAAAAGTTATTTCATCAACAACGCCACCAGTGGCGTTAATGCTATTGCGTCTTACAAAGTTGGCAACGTCAACAAAAGAAAGATTGATGTCATAGACAATAATGACGCTGACGACGATGACGAAGATGAAGAAGATTGCAGTGCCATTGTGGCTGGTACAAACGCAATGGATCGCAAAAGAATAAAAACTGATAACAACAACAACCACGTCATCTGTTCAGGTAACATTAATTGCAACAAAAATACTAGCGTCAACAGTATAAACTGTAATAACTACAAACGTTCAAACAACGACAACAACATCAACAATGTTTATCTGAGCAATTTGATAGAGATGCATGATATTACCATCATCAACAACAACAAAAATATCATCAACAACATCAACAACAACAACAACAACAACATCAACAACAACATTAACAACAACACCAATATAAACTTCCTTAACCCGAAAAATTGTGATGTAAACAACATCACCAACAAAACAATCAACGGTTTAAACATCAACACATATAACACTAACATCAACAACAATATCAACAACAACAGCAATAACAGCAACAAAATTAATGTAAATAACATCAACAACAACAACATCAATATAAGTAACAACAACATCAACAATAACAACATCGGCCACTGCATAACTGACTACATCAACAGCGATGTCAGTAACTTCATTGACAGCAACGTTAAATACACTATAAACAGAATAATTAACAACACCAATAGCAACAACACCACCAACAACAATAACAAGAACACCGATAGCAACAACACTGACATTAACCGCGTCGGTAGTAAATGCATCTTCGGCGACAACTCAAACAACAACTCTACCAACGTTAACGAAATCAACACTATTAGCAAGCACAATGACATCAACAACAACAACAACAATAGCTACAGCAGCAACAACAACACCAGCAACAACAACAACAGCACATCATTTGACGAACTATTAACTTTCGAATTTGTCGATAATGGTGTACAGAATGATGATGTCTTTGATCCTAATGATATCAAAAGAGATGACAATTTTAATAACGATGATGATGATGATGATGACGACGACGATGACGATAACTTAGATCTAGGTGCTGATGCTGATGGTATAGTTGATGATGATGCTGACGTTGATAATGATGACCATGACGTCATTGTAACCAAAGATATTTATACTGATGATAATGGCAATGATGGCACTAATGTCGTTGATATTGATTATGGCGATGGTGACGAAAGGGGGCAAAGTAAGATTTTATTATTATTATTATTGTTTTTGTTGTTATTATTGTTATTATTATTAATCAGTATCATCATATCATCACTATAATTATCATCTTTGATATCAATTAAGTCATTATCTTAAAGCAAGCATCTTCATCATCAGCCTCACCTGTCTTCAAACCGTCATCCATATCTTTCTTATCATCATCATCATCAACATCTTTCTCATCATCATCATCTTTATATGTTCATCATCTTTATCATCATTATCATCATCATCATCACTTACTCATTCTCCATTGTCAACATCATCGTCATCTTAACCACTACCGCCGTCATAATTACCATTATCACTATCATTATCCACACTGTTATCGTCAATATCATTATCATTAGTAGCTTCATTATCATCACTACTACCATCATCATCACCGCCTTTTTCTTCTTCTTCACCATTGCTTTCGTCATTATCATCACTACCATCATCAACATCATTACCAGAACCATCATCATCAACATCATCATCATCATCAGAATCATCAGAATCATAAGCATCATCATCATCACCAGCAGACACATCATCACCATCATCGTCATCATCACCATCTTCCTCTTCATCGTTTCAGTATGCAACTTCCTATGCAAAATCTTTTATCAGTTGTTTACTTAGCTGCTGTTCTCTATGGGTTCAGACTAGCCTGGCAGCCATCAGTAATTATTACACAAATGTACATTGTTCTAATAAGTAGCTCCAATAGTGCTGATAGTAGTGTAGTAATAGTGGTAATAGTACTAAAAAATGTAATAGTAGTAGTACTACAAGCAGCTGAAGTGGTAGCGTCTGAAGTTTTATAACAAAGGGTATTAGTAGTGGTGGCAGTATTTCAAGTTGAACCGATCCTCACATTATTAGCAATAGCGAAAGTAGTAGTAGTGAAATTAATAAAAGTAATAACTGTAATAATAATATATTAATATATAATAATATTATTATATAATTATAGTCGTAATAGCAGGGAGAGTAGTAACATAACAATATATAATAATACGTCATATCGTAGGACTTCAAATAGAAGTGGTAGCTACAGTTGTCGTAGTAGTAGCAGTAGCAGCAGCGGTTATAGCAGTAGCAGTAGTAGCAATAGTTGCAGCAGTAGCAGCCGCAGCAAAGGCAGCGACAACAGTAATAATAATATTATTATTATTTTTATTATTATTAATAATAATGATGATGATGATAAAAATATTGATAATGACTTTACTCAATTTAATTGTCGTTCGGGAACATACGTACATTAGCACCTATCTTTCTCTCTCTCTCTCTCTCTTTTTCTCTTTCTATATATATATATATATAAATATATAACGTATATAACGTATAAAATATATAATGTATATAACGTTTTATGCAAAAAATATTAAATATTGAATATAATTGTCAGTAGCTTAAGACCATAAGTTGTAGAGTAATTATCGCCAGAGCTGGTGCTTATTGCTGCTGCTGATTGTAACGATGGTGATGAGGGCGACAACGATGATGATGGCGAAGATGATGATGATAGTAATTACATGAGTGATGACAATGATCGTGATGAAGATAATGTTAATAACTTAGTAGTAGTCGTAGTAGAAGTATCGGTAGTAGCAGCAGCAGCAGCAGCAGTAGTGGTGGTAGTAGCAGCAACAGCAGCAAAAGTTGTAGCAGTACTAATAATAATAATAATAATTGTAATTATGGTCATGATGATAACTGAAAAATGTAGGGTAATATTAATTGTGATGATAACGATGATAACCGATAACAACAGAATGATGACGATGAGGAGGAGGATGATAAATAAGTTGAAGATTGCAGATAAAATGATAATGCTGATGATTAAAACAAATGACTGAATGATCACGTGATGTTTTATGAAAATTTTGAAAAAAAAAACTGTGTAAATAAATTAATTTAATTTCAACAGGCTTTAATTTGCTTTGCTCGAAACCAAAGGAAACTAATTCGTTCCTCCCATTTTGCTCATTAGAATCTTCATCACCATCATCTTTCTGTTACAATCCCCTATTGTCCTCATCGTCTTCATCATCCTCATCATCCTCATCGTCCTCATCTTTTATTGGAATCACGTTAGAATCATCAACTCAAATATCTTCTTCACCACCATCGCACTTGAAATCACCATTGATAATCAAACAGTCATCGCAAATGCTGATGTCACAACTCTCATCATCTTCGTCATCACCATCATCTTCTTCTCCATCTAAGTTGTTGTCACCATTACCAGGACCCACATCATCACCGGCATCAACGCCATCTGTAACTCTATCATCAGACAAAGCCACACCTGCCTTACATTTAAACAGTGTTTCCAGACTGTTTCCAACACCACCACCATCGTCGTTATTGTCTTCATCCTCATCGCTACCTTCATCATTATTATTGCTTTCATCAACGCCATCATCTTCTTCTTCATCGTCGTTCCTGTCATCTTTTCCAACCATGAAATCACCAGAACCACCATTGAGTATAAACAAAGTTGGGGCACCGTCAGCATCACCATCAACAGCAGCAGTCTCACCTTCCTTAGCATTAACATCTTCATCTGCAACAGCCATAACATTCACGTCAGCAACATCAATTACAACAGCAACGAAATCAACTACATTAACGACAACATCGGCTCCTCAAAAAATTCCTCTAATCATCATCAAACCATTAAACAAGGAAAACATTGCAAGTCAAACAATTATATACTTGAACAACATATCAGCGTTGTCATCAACATCAACAACAACATTTAACAGAAACAACAACGACAACAACAACGACATTAATAACTGCAGCAACAACAATAGAACTGACAATATCAGCAACGTTTCAATTAGCGAATCCAGCGCACCGCAACAACAATGTTATCAAAAAACTACATCAAAAGAAACAGCTATAAACAACAACAACATCATTTTAGATAAAGATGCAAACATCGCACAGCAATACGAACCAACAAGAGCTAACAACAACAACAACAACAGTGAGACTGTGGACTTAAACCATGCCACAGCCACACAAAACAAGACCATACCATTCTATCGCTTCTCGTTTTCTTGCGACAGTTCTACAGAATCCAATACTTTGTTAGAACCTGATTCGAGGTTTTTTCATTTATGTTTTAAATAGATTTAAATGTAGCATTATAGGGTTTGTTAAGTTTGTGTTTTTTAATAAAAATTTCAAATTGAAAAATTCAATAAGCATAATTGCCACAACATTCAAAAACAAAATTAAAAAGTTTTTTATGGACTACAATAAATGACAAATTAGGCGATTAAAACTCAGAGTTTAATTTGCATAATTTAAAAAAAATGACAAATTTCATAATAAATAACTTGATGGCAATTAATTATTACTAATAGTAATCAACTCTCAACAAACTACCTAACAACAACAGCTGTTACAGTCCAACGCTGAGCCAGTTATATTTTGAACAATCCCAACTGCCAATCGTGACTCCACCATTGCTACCACTGCCATCATCCCAACCGGCAACACTCCAAACGACGTCCGTCTTCTCTCCAGTGTCGTCTTCCCTCGCAATTCCAAAATTTCCAAATTCCAACCCTCAACAATCAAACATCGTCACGCCGGCCAGCTGGCTAGAAGATGACAAACTCACCTCAGATTTTGGTGAACTTTTTGGTGGAATTTCAACTTATTACTCTAACTTATCGGACGTTACATTACCGTCATTTTTTGGAGCAGAAGACCAATTATGGTCAGAAAATTTTCCCACGCCTCTCAATTTTTGGAACGAAAACAACCCACTGCTCGATTGTGTGTTCAACATTCCTTCTATTGTCACCGCTGCTGACGGCAGTGAGAATGCCAACGGAAGTAGAAACTATGATGCTGACGAGAGCAGAAGTTACAGCGCAGGTAGTGTTGCAGCCAGCAGTTACGATGTCCAGAGCAACGACGATACACTGGCTTTCAACAAACCTGCACCGTGCGTCAGCATGGATGTCTTCGTATCTGAGCAACTAAAGTACGAAACGTCCACTTATGATATTGCGCAAAATTATAGAAAAGAAATATTTAATCACGCCAGCTTACCTAATTGTGAAAATGATTTTACTCGACCAACTGAAAACCAATGGTAAAATATTTTCACCTCAATCTTATAATAATTTATAATTATATATATATTTAATATAATTTAATAAGAGTTATGTTATCAATATTTTTTTTATGTCCATTGGAGCATAGGTTATCGCCAAGTTGTTATCTAAACATAAAACCAAAGAGCTCCGAAACATTTGAAAATTCAGAATTCGACCAGCTACTGCCAATAAATCAAGAACTACAAAAATATGACAATCCATGTCAAACATATTTGGAAAATGTAGAAAGCTACCATTTGCAGTTGAATTGTCAAAATTCTCGTGAAGTTAATGAACAGCAGCTGTCACATTATCCAACCAACAATTACCAAATTCTTCACAGAAACTCTTTGAATCGACAACTATCGAAAGACACAAAAGTTTCAACGCTAAAATTGGAAAATTCAAAATTAGAATCAAAAAAGTGTGTCACTTCATTTTGCAACAAGAGCCGAGAGATGAAGAACAACCACGCTTTGTCCCCCTCTGGATCTTTGAATGACACATCACCTCATAACAAAACCAAGAAATCCATCTGCTTGTGGCAGTTCCTCAAAGAATTGTTGGTTTGCCCGCAATATGCCACCTGGATAAGATGGGTTGATCAACACAAAGGTGGATGATATTTTAAAATATTTTTTGTATGTTTTTTTTTTATTCAAGTTTCTTTTTATGTTTGGACAAATTTTTCAAAATTACCAAACAAACTTTTGGGATTTCAATAGTGATTTGTGTATTTGATAGGTGTTTTTAAAATAGAAGATTCTGTTAACGTAGCCAAACTTTGGGGAGAAAGAAAAAATCGACCGGCGATGAATTACGACAAGCTGAGCCGATCAATCCGACAGTACTACAAGAAAGGAATCATACGCAAGACAAACAGCTCCAAACGATTGGTCTATCAATTCTGTCCGCAGTATTTGTGAAGGTTTCAAATGAGGGAATATATTTTTAAAAAATGTACCATTACATGGTATTAATTTATTTTCGTCAGATGGAACAAAGACATTTTTTTACTAGTTTATAATTTTAGACATTCATTTCAGTATTAACATCGCATATATGATTAGGTATGTAATTTATATTCATTTTTTTATTCTGTTACCGCTACCTAGAACGTGTAAACGTACTGCAATCTACGACGAGAGTTGCTCACGTTAAAAGTCAGAAAAATTTGTATTGTTGAATTATCCGCAAAATTAAACTTAAATGCCTGCTTTCAAATTTTAAACTTATTTTTAGCTTAAATACATATCAGATTTATGTGCACGTTATGATTATCTAGTAATAATGTAACTTCTGAGAAGCATGTATTCCTCGCTTGGGGAAAATCTTTATAATTTCTGTCTCCCCCAGTCATTTTTACGTTATTTGAACTTTTACTGATGTCCTAAATGAACAAATCTGCCTATGTACAATACATTTGGTGTTTTCTTCATATTTTGTGCGTGAATTCATGCACCGAAAGCGTGTGAAACAACAATATGCTCCTATTTTAAGAATATCTTTGTGAGCGATAGTTTATTCAGTTAGTTTATTCAATCGATAGTTTTCATAGTGTAACAACGCAGTCATGCTAGTACGAGGTATAAATCCGGAACGTTAATTACGATCATTTCACATTTACGGCGGTCCTAATCTGAGAAAAAGTAAAATCTAAATCACGGAGGCACGCACACATCACGCAAGAAAAGTTCGAAAACAGTAAACAGCATATAATCACTTTCAAATAGTTCTCTTTATTAATTAGTTTGAAACGACCCTGATGAGTACAATTCATAATCTTCATTTTGCCATTTATTTACGTTTTATAACCAATCATTTTTATTGAAAATAGTGCCCTCCTGTGTTCACGCATGTTCACCTTCTTGAATGTTAATGCACACTTAACTGCGACCTTACTACAGTTAAATAGACATTTATTTCTGTTGATAAAAGATACATAATATACACGTCACTGAAAGAATTTACATTTTCCATGTTTCCACTAGCAATAAAATATAGATCCTGCTGCACGCAAACACATCCAGCAAACAAAGTTACAGCAACCGTTGGTCGCTCACGAAACCTTTCAAACCGTTTCAACAATCTTCACCCAACAGTGTATTTGTACTATTATTACCGGCGTATGTATTTAAATATTTTTTTGAAAACTAAACGTGGCTCCATTTCAGCAACTAATAAATTTCCATTTTACTAATATTGCCTTTTCGACTAAACAGATTATTTTGTATAAATTTTTACAATGTTTCTACTGTAATAAATAACATTTAACCAGTATTTAACATGTTTAACCAGGATTTAAGACGTTGCTAGACAACCTGTTGCAGACAGCACTAAAAATCAATTTAAATTTTTTATTCTCCAACCAATACTTGGAATCGATCCAACATCTTTATTCTAACACTCAGCATATAAAACAAACAATAAACATAAATAAACTCAATCACCGACCATTATCTACCAGTTCTTATTCTTACCATTCAGGCTCAATCCTCATACCATCTTTCAAATAGTGTGATGTAGGCTATGATACAAATTATAAACATGTTTCTAATGGCAACCTCATTGTTAGTTTCAAGGAGGAAATTATCATAATTTATTTTAATTTACTATATATATATAGTGTTCTGAATTGAAAATCTTAGTTATCTTGTCATCTTTTGTCTTCTACTTATTCTTCCTTTCTTCAGCCAGCCTATCAGCTTTCTGGATGACCTCTTCAATTGGACCAACCATGTAGAAAGCAACTTCAGGCAGATGATCCATCTCACCTGTGTATAGCATAGGCAGTGCAAAATTTAAACAAAAATAACAAAAATATTATACCAACAACGAAAATTTCAATAATCATCGACGCACATCACCAAATCGTGACGTAAACGAAACACAAAGAAGTAAACCAATTTCATTAAAATATGTACATAAATACAAAACCAGAACATTACCATTAAGGATCATTTTGAATCCCTTGATGGACTCCTTCAATGGAACCAACTTACCCTCTGATCCAGTGAACACCTCGGCCACCTAGGAAATTAAATTCACCAATTTGTAAATTGAGTCATTAAGAGCACACAGATTCCACAATTGGCATCCGATACATAACAAATTGAGACCTCATAGAGGTAAACAAAGTAGCACAAGATAATGTATGATTATCATTTGAAAGTATTATTTCACAAAAGCTAAAAATACAACAGCATACCTGGAAAGGTTGTGAGAGGAACCTCTGGATTTTACGAGCTCGTGCCACTGTCAGTTTATCATCTTCAGATAACTCATCCATACCCAAGATGGCAATAATATCCTGAAGGGACTTGTAGTCCTGATCAAATCATTGATATTAAACATAATAAAATGTATTCACGTTTTTGAAAAATAAAAGATCCAGAATTAAGGGATGAACCTGTAGAATCTTCTGTACACCACGAGCGACACTGTAGTGCTCCTGGCCGACAATGTTAGGATCGAGAATACGAGAAGTTGAGTCGAGAGGATCGACGGCTGGGTAGATACCCAACTCAGCAATACCTCTGGAGAGTACAGTGGTGGCATCCAAGTGGGCAAATGTTGTGGCAGGGGCAGGGTCAGTCAAATCATCAGCAGGTACATAGATAGCCTGTGTATCGTGTGAATTGCTTGCAAATGATCAAACAGTCAGTCAGGAATAATTTTCCAGACACAAGACACTTGATAGAAAATTTTAACTAGCTTAACTGGCAACTACAAACATTAGTACAAAGCAGAGCAGCACAACATGACCAACCTGCACAGAGGTGATGGACCCCTTCTTGGTTGTGGTGATTCTCTCCTGCATAGTACCCATGTCAGTTGCCAGGGTAGGTTGGTAACCCACAGCTGATGGAATACGACCCAACAGAGCTGATACTTCTGAACCAGCCTGAGTGAATCTGAATGGAACAACAATAACACAGCTCATAACCTTTTCTGCTTTTAATTATCTAAGTAATGGAGTGCATATAGAGCTAGAGAGCCAAAATTTAGCAAAAAGACCGGTGTAAAAATAATTCTTAATATGGATGCTGGTGATAGAAAGAATTTATTTTTAATCAAATAAATGCTATAACTGACTGACATTAAATAAAAAAACTCAGAACTGATTCAGAATTTGAAAAAGAAATGGACTTGTAATAAAAGAGAGATAAGACAAAACAAACTCAAAGAGAAAACTACATTCATATAAAAAATGCTTTATGTGATTTTTTCAAATGGCAATCAATTTACCTCTCAAAATACAAACAATAACTATAGCCATGACAAAAGACAAGACAAAGGCTGACCTGAAAATGTTATCAATGAAGAGCAGCACATCTTGGCCTTCTTTATCTCTGAAATATTCAGCCACTGTCAAACCTGTCAGGGCAACACGAGCTCTGGCACCTGGGGGCTCATTCATCTGACCATACACCAGTGACACCTAGAGAAAATATACCACATCACAACACTAAATAAACTTTTTTTAACTGAGATGTTAAACAGTTGACACCTGATCATCAAAAATCATTATTCACCATCATATCTGTCATCACTACAGGCTCTAAAAAAGATATAACATATCTGTGCTATAGGTGTTCACTAGAATTAATTGCCACCTATCAATTGGACAACAATTAATGAGCCAACTGACCTTTGACTTGTCACCCTTGAGGTCAATGACTCCGGACATGATCATCTCGTGGTATAAATCATTTCCTTCTCTTGTTCTCTCTCCTACTCCGGCAAACACCGAATAGCCACCATGAGCCTTGGCAACATTGTTGATCAACTCCATAATCAACACTGTCTTGCCTACACCAGCACCACCAAACAAACCTGGTTACAAGGGTCATAACAGTATTCAAGTCAACTTGTTTGTACCGTATGAAATGCAAAATACAAAGTTGTTAAAACTTTTAAAATACTGATTAGTTTCACATAGTGATAGACTGATAAAACAATGGTATCATTTCGTTACAACATATTTGTTGTTTTTAGCAAGTAAAAGGTGTACAAGAGAATATATACAAACCAATCTTTCCTCCCTTGGCATATGGAGCCAACATGTCTACAACTTTGATACCAGTTTCCAAGATCTCCTGTTCCACACTCATCTCAACAAACTCGGGGGCATCAGCGTGAATTTCTGCAAAGCTGAAATTAACAATCAAATCATATTAAAACTATATTATCGAGTAGAGTAGAAATTCGAGAAAAAATGACAACATAACAAATATACATACTGTTTGGCATTGACTGGACCACGCTCATCGATGGGCTCACCAATAACGTTGATAATACGTCCGAGTGTTTCAGGACCCACGGGAATCCTGATTGGAGCGCCAGTGTCTGTGCAGACCTGACCTCTGATGAGACCTTCCGTACCATCCATTGCAATTGTCCTACATGTCTTCTCGCCTAATAACATATTTTGGATTTTAAATTCAACTTATGAATTTGTTGTGATTATTAAAAAAAAAACAAAAAATAATAATTATTAATTTAAGTATATCTAAAATTTCACCTAAATGTTGAGCGACTTCCAAGATTAGACGTGGTTTCCTGTTCTCAACCTCAAGAGCATTCAAAATTGAGGGCAACTCATCATCAAACTGTACATCAACAACAGCACCAATGACTGCCACTATCTTTCCTTTGGCTATGGCTTTGGCTGCTGGTTGGCCGGCTGGAGCTGTGGCATTGTCCTTTGCTGATAGAATTATTATTTTAAAAACATGTCATAAATAAACAATAAATTAAACAAATATTCAACAAAAACAACTTATGATTATATATCTATTTAGATAACCTATTTATAGTATATAAATAAATTATAAAATAAAAAAATCAATGATCATGTTTTAAAAATTATTTATCTTAATTTAATAGGCTGGCTAAGAGGTCTAAAAAAGCAATCTGTTCTTTTCTTAATATCAATATTATTTAAAATTTCTTATTACATGAATTTTGCCGCCATGTTTAACATTTTTACTGTTTTATTTTTATTTACAAAAACAAGAATAAATATTTTAGTCAGGGTGAAACTAACTTTCTTCATCAATCTCAATCTGGCATCATTCAGAATTTTAAACTCACAAACTTAATTCAAAACTGATGTCAAACTTGACTCTTTAAAATTTATTATTAAAAGCACAATTTGTAATAGGAGGAAGTGGCTAAAATTTGAAATGTACAGTAAAATTACAAGCACAGGCAACAAATGTGAGCAAGGTCAATTTGACGAGGTCAGTAGATGGCAGAAAATTGACATTAAGAATGAATTCTTGAAAAATCAAACACCAACTAACATGTCGTGTGTAGACAAGCCGCAGATTTCTGCAAATTAACCCCAGTCGGGCGTACGGAACGGAGAGTTCTGAAAGCGCAACGACCAAGAGCAGCCTGCATTTTGTTTAATGGCCGATAATTTAACCGGATAGACCGAAAGTGTCGAAGGGATTAAAAAAAATTAAAGCGCTTCAAATAAAAATTTAAAATTATGATATTTTTTACCTGCGAAAGGAAATTTTTTTTACAGTTTTGAAAAGATGTCTTTTAAAATCAACTTATAATAACTAACACAATTCATGATAATTTTATATTTATTTTATTCTCGAAGAGAATAAAACGCCTTGCTTTCTCTCATCAGTATAAAATTTGTCAATTTCGTGTCCAACACGCTGGTTTAATAATTTTTGTTGTTGCTTGTGTTAAATTTTCAATTATTAAATAAAATAACGTAGTTGCTTAGATCAAGTACAACAAAATATTTAAGTTAAAAATACTCAGTTAAAAATAAGCAATAAAAGTGCATTATCAATGTCATCGATGAGAGCTTCAGATTATAAAAAATTCAGATCCACAAGTTGATTGCAACAGGAAAGACAGTTTAATCCAACCGAGACATTCACCTTGATCAACCCTCTACTCAACAATATGGAAATTAAACCGAACTGCTCTATCGTACCGTATTCTTCCCGTTACAAATTTTAATCGAAAGTAAGACTATCATAATGACGTTACATTTATGATAGTCATCACCTACTGGCTGATGAATAAGCTCCAACTCCAAAGTTAAGCTCGAGTGCTACAGAACAGCTCCTATATTAGCTATTAGCATTTCCACGGATAAATGTTGGAGAGAAAAATTCCCCTTTGGGTTATTGTTTTTGTTGATTTAGAATTTTCTATATATAGCAACAAGGTTGAACCCACTAACGTCAAAGTTAACAAATGGTCTTCATCTTATTGATAGCCACAAAAATTCCCATTATCAAGTAATTAAATGAAAACTAAATTAAATACATTTTGAAAATATTAAAATTAATAACTTCCAAACATTGCCAAATATTCGCCCAAATTTGAAGATCGATTATTATTTGATCATTACTTCAAAGAGGAACTTGGTGGTAAAGCGACTGGAAATGTTATTTCGTCATCCTTAATATTTGAAGCTGATCTTTTTGCACTCCGCCTATCGTTAATATGGATAAATAACCATCTGAAATAGGTAAGCTTGAAGTTTTGAATGATACCAATGGATAATAGCGACACGATATAGCTTTGAAAGTTTAGCCTCACTGTTTATCCAACCGCTTTCCTACATCAAAAATTCAATGTCCCCATTCAAAATCTCGCACTTTTTTTATATATTCCTGTCTCACCAACGCGCCCCGAACGACCTAGATATATCGCTGTCAGAAGGTTCTATTTCCTTCTCGAATTGGATGCGTTCGTAACGACACTAGCGTCTCTAGCGAGCATAATCGTGACAATTATAACAGTATTTTGGTTTGGATATTTTTTTATTTTTAATATTTAATATTTTTAAAATTTCTTCCTTTATTTATTTTTTAATATAATTTAAATGTATTAGGTATTTTGAGCTGATTACATTACAAGTTTCTGTTTTATATCATGGCTTAATTTTTTATAGAATGAAAATTAATTTTACTCCCTCCAGATGCAAATGATTGAAATTAATTACTTTTCAGCAGGTGCTAACAGCTAACTATCAAACAGTGACTGATCTAGAGACAACTATGACAGGGGTGGCCCAGATTTTCAACAAAAAATTTTTTCTACCAAAGTTCAGGACCGGAGCGGAGAGTTTCTATAAAAAGTTGAAGACCGGGAAAGGAGTTTTCCTAAATTTTTTTAGAAAAGTTTCATTTTTCACCGAGGGGAGCTAACATTTTGACGAGAGCAGTGGAGGATTAACCATTTTGCCGCCGTAATTTGCCGCCCCAATTTTTTGCTAATTTTTGAGAATTAAAATGAAGTGAAAGCAATATTTATCATACATTTTTATTAAGTACATTTTTTATAATATTTATGTAAGGCAATATTAGAATAAAATGCATTTGGATTAAACATTCTATAAAAAAGGTTACTTGAAAATTTAATAAAAATTTTTTTCTACGCGTAAACTCTTCAATAATGAAATTAAGGTCCAATTCTTGCAAAATTGTTATTCTAATGCACAGGATTGCAAGGGAGTTTAGTCTTTCTTTCGACATTGTTAAACGCAAATAATTTTTATCGCGCAAGGAAAAGACCGCTAGGCCGAACAGGTTGTAGCAGGAGTGCAGCAAGTGTACGTCCAAAGTGCAGTGTCTATATTTGGATGCACCTACGCACTCCAACTCTTCACTCCTATCTATTTACACAAATCAATTGGACTGTTTGAAACTAAACTTTGGTCTAAGGAGGCCAAATAAGACTTGTTTTGTTTGACGAATTTTTCGAAAATCCAAACGAACACATGCCATATATCATTTTCAAAGTAAAAATGCTTACATACTGATATCATACGAACAAGTAGAATATTCAGAGAACATAACATGTATAGTAATTTTGCCATTCAAGAAAAATAATTTCGTTTACATTGATAGGTGCATTCTAATCTAGGTTATATTAGCAAATCCAGATTTTACGAAAATCTAACTTACTGAAAAATTAAAATTAACCACAACATTTTTAATTTAACTAATCATTAAGTTTTCAGCATTTTCTTGTTGAATTGCAATGTTCATATATTAAATGAGAATATTTAAAATTACTTATTTTATTATTTAATATAAATCTTTCGATAAACTACAAAAGTCCAAAATGAAATATTAACTTACGGATGTGTATGTAATATTTAATTTTAATCTTATCGATACATTAATAAACAAATTAACAAATAATTCAATTTAACAATTTCTGCTATTTATTGTCGGGCGAGATTTAATGATAATTTAAAATTTCATAAAATAAGAGAAAATTATAAAAATAACTTGATCGAAATAAATGTAACAAATTGCATTTGCCTACTTCATCCAATCCCCTGACAACCAATTTCCAGCCACACACAAACTGCTCTTATTCAGCACACAGATACACTTAGTAACGTAAAAAACAACCATGTAGATCCACTAAATAGGAAAAAAATTATTCGCAATAAAACCATTCATAATAAAATTATTCGTAATAAAATTGTTATTAAATTATTAAAAACGAAACATAAATAAAATTTTAAAGTTAAATTAAATCAGGGACGCTTCGCCACTATGACGGGGACTTCGGCTTTTTCGATTACGTAATCGCTGATACTTTTGATGATCGTTTTCTTTAACTTGCCCATTCCTCTACAGCCCATCACTATTAACGTCACTTCCTCTTCCTTCGACATTTTTATTATGTACTCGCCTGCTGACTTGTCGTTCCCCGCCACCCAGTGGTAGTTCACCTGCGGTTAGGGAGAGTTTTTGATAAGAAAAATTAGTACATGGATGATAATTATTAAAATTATTGTGACTAATATACAAAAATATTATATCGTTGGGCAGAAATTGGGATGGAAAGTGAAGCTAGAATCCCGCGTTTTCCACAGAAAAAAAACCTTTCCAAATGGTAATAATTGTGTAACGTGTTTTTTCGAAGCGTGCCATGTCATTTTCTCCTACAATACTAGAACACACTGATTTAACAGAAAAAAATATTTTCTGTAAAAAAAAAACGTGGAATAGACGAAAAAAGTTGCCAAAAAGTTAGAAAAAAACCCAACCATAATTATTGCCCCTTTAAATCTGAAAACTTAATCAATTCAAATAGCTAAGGGTCTGAAAATTTTTGCGCGGCACAACCTTCACACCCCATAAATCTGGCTGTATATTGTAATGATTGAGAAGATTACGACTAGAGTGATTAAATAGATTATGATGAATAAGATATACATCAAGAAGGTCAGGGAGATTGTTTCGCTTGTTACAGAGTGTCGAAGCTGGAGATTTTGCCCAAGTCGGAATGAATGGGGCGAAGTTGTAGTGGGATATAGTTTATCTGACTCTGACACCATGGTTTTATAATAACGTGATTGAGACATGCTTAAATCGATAACTTGGAATGATTGATCATCGTATAGTCTGCGTAAGTTTATAGTTTATATCTTGAAAATAAAAGCTTTTTGTAGTTATCAGTCATAATTTTTTCATTTTTTTTGTTCCGTGATTCGTTCATTTCATATATAACCGTTTCATTTGTCCTCTGACTTTCGAAATCCATATTTAGCACTTCCATTTATTTATCTGTCAACTTTGACATTCATTTAGTCATTCAATTGATCTTCCACTCATTCGATCACTCATTTTTTCCAGATCTGATTTTTTCTTTCCATCGTAACGGTCGGTACTAAGCAGTTGGCGCAGATATCAAGTTATTGTAAAGTTAAACAAACATATTCAGCAAAATAATAAAACAAATAAATAAATAAAGTAAGGCGCTACAAAAAATTATTTATTTAAAAATTAGTCTATAGATAGCATGTAAATAAATACGCACAAACATACACAGAGACACACACTCACTCACACACACGCAAACACACACACACACACACACACACACACACACACACACACACACGCACACACACACACACACACACACACATACTTATAACAACATATATTGCAGTATTTATGATGCTTTTTTCTCGGCGTTTGTTTTATAACAAATGATCGCTCCAAAGTGAAAAACTTCTAGGATATCTGAAAATTTTCATTTTAACAAAAGATAATGTATTAATACAAATCTATGTTGTTGTTTATTGTCTGCTATCTCCATGCTTGTGCTTGCTGATTAGGGGTTGTAGGAGGGCTTCATGATAAGTTCACGCACACACATAAACACACACACATACGCACACACATAAACACACACACACACATACATACGCAAACACATAAACACAAACACACACTAATTTACAGAGGCATCAGAGCAGGCTTACACGTAGCGTTCAATGGCAAATCCAAAAATGCTCGGTTTAGACGGTTTCGAATGTTGTAAAGAAGTTCATGACCTTTTTTCTTGTTGCAAATTCTCGTGGTCTCCGTTTGTTACAGTTTTGGTTGGGGATGGTGGATAATCTTTTTTCGTCTTAATCCTCGTTCA